AAAGTATATCATTATATTGAAATAACAATGGTAATTTCCTGTATTTTATTTGGTCAATAAACTCAAGTAGATACATTTAGGTGAAGATTTAATTTAAATAAATTTTATAATTCCTTACAATGTTCAGAATATTTAAAATATACTTCATTTACTAGATTTACCTTATATTTTTGGGCAATTTGGGAAGAACCTTATCTTGTTTAGAATATATGAGAAAATGGTTTTTCACTATAACAACTAATATACAGATTGAACGAATTTAAAACGGATCATACAATTTAATATATGTTTGTTTGAATTGCACTTGAAATAGTGGACCAATATAAAACTTGAACAAAAATAAATCCATACCAAGTGTTAGACATTGTATAAAATATCGTTCAACTATCCATCTCCTTTTAGAACCCACCATAGTCAATGTTGCCAATCGCCGTGTAATAATCCGATTTGCGGATCTTTTTGAGAGTTATATCTTCTTCGTATCTTTAAATAAATCGGATATTTGCCTATATTTTTCATTGTATTTACCAATCTACTACAACAGACTAATAACAAAAATAAACTTAATGGTTTGTAGTTATTTCAGAAGTTTGTAGTTATTTTAGAAACATCTAGTGGAATGCTATTGGCAACACCGCTCAAAATCTCCATCTCCGATAAACGAAAGAGGGGCTTGCCTAAAGGCGGCCACCCACGATACAGCGGCGTTGTTCAACTGCGTTTTTAACTACACACTTGTTTTGATCATATTATAGAAAATCGAAATGGATTGATTTGGCGAGAATTTTATAGAGAGTTTTTTAAATTATTTAAAAAACAAGAATGCTTATAGCGAGTAAAAGGTAAAACGTATCACGATAGAAACACCCGAAAACAGGCAATGGAGATTCTAGTTTTAAAGTTCCAAGAAGTAAACAAAGATGCGAATGAAGAGTAGTAAGAAAAAAACATTTACAATTTTAGAACATCCTATACAAGAGAATTAAAATTAGCAATGCAGTCCAGTAAATCGGGTGCAGGGGCAGACGAGATTTATTTTGCACCAAAATCTTGGATTCTTTGCACCAGAATCTACGTTTTATTTTAGGTTTCCTTTTACGCTTAGTTATACACAAAGTAAGAGATGCTAAAATGATTGTCTGATTTGACATGGTCGAGAACCGAACAAATACTGCGGCGCAGTATGGTGTGTGGGCGCACCAGATATACCAACAAATTGAACAACGCCTCTGTCCGATTATGTCGAACGACACCGCTGTACCGTGAGTGGCCGGCTTTAGGAAGCGATAGGTGGTTTGACCACCTATGAATGAGTTCTTGAATTAATTCAGAATCCAGCAGCCCGCTGAAGTATTGGATTTTTATAATATAATTATTTGACAACCTTTTGTTGGCCAACCACCTACAGCAGAATTGAGCCGAAATACATAATATTTCGTATGTTCCGAATTTATTTTGTTCAATCTGTATTTAAAGTCATCAGTTCCGTGGTTCCTCTTATTTTTCTTCTACATGCTGCCTTTTCTTGTGCCAATTGTTTGATCTGGTTACATTCTATTACTTGTTCTCTGACTATTTTCTATCTTGCTCGTTTGTCTATCTTGCTCGTTTGTTTATCTTGCTCTTTTTTGTAGATATCTAGGTATCCTAGATGCTCTTCATTTTAAATTCATTCTTAGTTTATACTGATTTCACTTCTAAATTTGGAATTACTTCCACATTTCGTATCCCACAGCTCCTATTCATCCCTTCAATCTTTGAGAAAAGAAAATAGAGATCTCCAAAAGAAATATGGCCAGAAAAGTGGATCCAAAATTGAAAAATATTAAATAAAAATTTTAGCAGACAACAGCTAAAGGACAAAATACAAAGAATATATAAAAGGAAGACTAAAAAACAGACAAAAGTACGAGGATATAAACAGAGAATGGGAAGCGTGTAAAAACGTCGTACAAGACGCGGCCAAAGAGACCCTGAGTCTACAAAAAAAGCTCAATTCAACTGAAGGACAGTGGTTCGATGAAGAGTGCCGTAAAATAACAGAGAGGAAAAATATTGCATATCAAAGAATACAATGACATAGAACACGAAAGGCAGAGGAGGAATATAGAATGTTAAGGAGGGCAGAGAAGAAAGGACATCGCAGAAAGAAAAGAGAACACATAGAAAAAGAACTCCAAGAAATGAAAGAACTAAATAAACCATCAAAACCAGAAAATTCTACCAAAAACTTAACAAAAGCAGAGAATAATTTAAACCAAGAACAATGATGTGAACAGACAAAGAAGGAGATATAGTAACTCAACAGAGAAAAATACTATAAAGATTGACAGAATACTTCAAAGAAAAGTTTGAAAAAAAAAACGAAGATCCACCATATGATGGAATTATACTGGATCAAACGGATACCAGAGAAACAACTCCCCCTTTCAGTAGGTGAAATGCAAGAAGCAGTTACCAGACTGAAAAACAACAAGTCATCTGGATTAGACAACATTAGCGCAGGATTAATAAAGGAAGGCGGAGACTTCCTATTGAAGGCGATACACGAAATTTCTCTCTTCAATCCTGACCCCCCAGGGGGAGTGTAGTGGTCGACGTGATGTGTATTGTCCGTCTCCAGAGATCTCTGTCTGTGGTCATTTCTTTTAATTCATGCATAGGTCTTTGGCATATTCCTGTAATTTGATCTATCCATCTTGTTGGAGATCTTCCTCGTGATCTTCGGCCTTCTACCTTTCCTTGTATTATGAGTCTTTCCATGTTTTCTGTGTTTGCTCTCATAACATGCCCAAAATATTTTAATTGTTGGAGATGGACTTTACTAGAGAGTCGTTGGCTAACTTTTAGCTCTCTTAAAATTGAATTATTTGTTCTACGGTCGGTCCAAGGAATTCGTAACATTCGTCTTCAACAGAACATTTCAGTGGCGTCTATCTTTCTTCTCTCCGATTGTCTCAGAGTCCAAGATTCACATCCGTAGGTCAGTATTGGGAATATTAAGCAGTTGATCAACCTCATCTTTATCGCTCTTGAAATTTGACAGTCCTTCCATATTTTGGTCATTTTTACTGTGGCAACTTTTGCTAGATCACATCTACGTTTAATCTCTTCTTATAATGACCCTGTGTTTTGTAATTAATGATCCCAGATATAAGTATGAGTAATATACTCCCCATATATGTTGAATACATGTGGAGATAGTATACATCCTTGTCTAACACCCCGTTCTGGATGAAACTCGTTCGAAAGTGTGTCAAGTACTTTAACTGATCTAGTAGTGTGTTCATATAGTTCAGTTATAAGCCTAATTAGATGTTGTGGTACTTCTTTTAGTATTCGCCATAAGTGTCTCCACTTGACCCTGTCGAACGCTTTACGGTAATCTATAAAACAGATGTATAGTGGGATGTTGAATTCCCTAGATTTCTCGATTATCTGTCTTATATTCAACAGTTGTTCTCGAGTGCCTCTACCTTTGGTAAATCCAGTTTGCTCTTGTGAAATTTCTCTTTGAAGGAATGTTTTCAGTCTCTCATTGATTATATGTAGCATTATCTTGCTGGCATGGGATATAAGAGAGATAGTTCTATAATTGTCGCATTTATGGAAGCTGCCTTTTTTATGTATGGTCGTTATTGTAGATTTTGTCCAGTCTTCAGGCCACTTGTTTGGAATGCCATATTTGGTTACAGAGTAGATGAAGTAACTTTACGCCGGTTTCTTCTGTGGCTTTAAGCATTTCTGCTGTTATCATATCTGGACCCGGTGCTTTGTTATATTTGAGCTTGTTGATAGCCTGTCTTACTTCATTTTCGAGTATATCAGGTTCTTCTTCCACCTCGTCAGAGATTTGGCTAACAAGCTCTTGCCATTGATCATCTTTATATAGGTCCCTGCAATACGATCTTCATGTCTCTGCTATGTCTTCTCTGTTTGTTCTCAGGGTTCCAGTGTTATCTTCAATGGCCCAAGTTCTGGCTCTGAAGTCTCTTTTCAGGTAGCGTATTTTTCTAAATAGATGTCTCGGCTGGAGTGAACATATGGAATAATAAACAACTGCCACAAGACTGGAATACAAGAGTAATGATTCCACTACATAAAAAGGGAGATCAGCTTCAATGTAAAAACTACCTGGCAATAACGCTACTAACTGTGGCATATAAAATACTGTCAAATATTATGTATGACAGATTGAGACCATATGCGGAACAAATACTTAGGAGAATCAATGTGGTTTCTGCAGGCAGAAGTCGACAATAGATCAGATCTTCGTCTTGAGACAAATCTTGGAAAAGATAAGTGAATTTAATATAGACACATATCATCTTCTAATTGATTTTGAGAGTACCTATGATAGCATCAATCGAGAATTTCTGATTCATGTACTGAAAGAGTTTAATATTCCAACTCAACTCATTGATAGTAACAGAAACACTTAAAGTACAAACCAAAAATTCGAATTAAAGCGTACCACAGATACAATCCATACAAGAACGGGCATACGACAGGGAGATGCCCTATCCTGTATTCTATTCAATATTACATTAGAGAAAATAATTAGAGAGTCAAAAGTCAACACCAGAGGAACAATAATAACAAAAAGTGTACAAATATTGGCATTTTCAGATGATGTTGATATCATACCAAAACATATAATGAAGCAAACACCAGTAGGAAGAAGGTCAAAGGGAAGACCCAAACTTAGATCCAACAACAAGTAGAAGACCCAAGTGGAACAAGATCTAAAAACACTCAAGATTACCAACTGGAAAAACAAACCAAGGAACAGAACAGAATGGCGGAAAATCCTAGAACAAGCCAGGGCCCAGTTTGCTTATAATTTTTTAAAATAGTTTAGGGCCCAGAATATTTTTCGGTTGCCAAAAATACCTTAATTGTATTCTACTTCTTTTTTCCTTCAACGAATCAATTAAAAAACAATATCTTGAATTATACCATTTTATTTTAGAGCGTATTATAATTATTGTAGGTAAAGTCTAGTAATCTTTTATCTATATCACATATTAATTATTTCTACTATAAGTCTATAGTTAGCTCGTGATCCAAATAGTTTCTTACCACCAAACCTACGTTGCATACACAGTTTATTCATTTTACATGACTTTTGGCAAGAAACAAGGTCACTTAGAAAGGCATTGTGTAGATTTTATGACAAGATTATTTCTTGTAGGTCACTAACTCATTATAAACTGCTGTGTGGCTTTACTGAAAATTAATCTTGATAAAATTTTTAGGCCAACTCTATACATCAAGCTGGCAAGACTTAGCGGGCGAGGTAACTCTGATTTATGCTCTCGTTTTATTTATTAATAATTTTACTGATGCGATCATGTACTTATATGAAATGAGCATTTTTGTCGTCGAGAAAGTAGCAGTGTTCTTTTCGTGTTTATGCATTTTATTTATAAAAGTGTCTGCAATATTTTAGATGTGATTATATCATACTGTAGGACAGTAGTTAACGATTGTCGGATACTACTTTATTACACTGTTATTCTTTTTGACAATTAGTCAACAGGCCATGCATGATAATTTAATTTAAAATGTATACTCAAAAATACTATGTACTCAATTTCTTTTTGTCGTTCATTTTTCATAATAAATATTTTGCCATTTTCAAGAAGCTTTACTTTATTTTATTACTATTACTTATTAGTATTACTTATTGCTTATTACTTATTACTATTACTCTATTTTATTTTATAAACATTACATTTTACAATTAAATTTCATGTTTACACTGTTTTAAAAACTTTAACATGGATTAAAAAATTGGTATCTGACATTGACAATTGACATTTGGCAGGTATCTTAAAATAGGAGTGGTTCAGAGTCGTATCATAAGTGTCTGCTATAGTGCAATAAAAAAATTACTCAACTTATTAAATTATGATACATATTGGAAAGATCTTTGATGTTGTAACGATAAGACTGCCAAAGAGAATTAAAGTACTATTGTAAAAATAATACCTCAATCAACCATGGAGTTTATCGTCTATACCTTGCCTAGCTCAATATCTCGAGGGTGAGTTCGTCTTGTCTTAAAATAGGGATTAAAACTGAGTTCTTAGTTGATAGCAAATAAGACAAATTTTAACCAAACATATTTATTAAAAAGAATAAAGAACAATAATTAACCCTGCCAAAGCTTAACAATTGATAAGTGATACTTATTGTGTCGTTTGATGGGCTGCTTGAGTGTTCTAGCTCTAAGGTCCTCCAATTAAATGTGGTAGTTTCTGGAGTCACACGTGAGTGTACGTTCTGGTTAAATTGTTAGATCCTCAAATGGATACGGTCAATAGAATATTGATGTGGTCAATAATCCCAATAAATCCAATAAGGCTGTCAATAAGCCCAATAAAATTTAAATATTCCCAATAAATTAGTAAATATTCCAAATAAAACTAAAATATGAAAAATAGCTTGCATTGGAACACATAAAAAAAGGTTTAACTTCCTTGCCATCTTACAAAATTACAATTAAACAAATAGCGTATGACCAGAATAAAATGAAATAAAATTATTATTGAACTTTAGCTAAATTTTGTTAAGATTTCTAGATGCATATAATCATGCCCTGAAATCTTATATGAATGACCTTGGTTCATTCCCCCATCACTTTAACCCCAGAGAGTTAATTAAGAAAAATGACAGCCTATCTATCTCACGAAGACTTTAACTAATCATTTATTCTAACACAGTCTCGGGGTGTCACTGAAATAATCAAACGAAGCTTAATTTCGGAATGTCAATTCTGTCAAAAGTAGTGACAGATCTTCTGTTTGTTTACAAGTTTTCAATTTTATTTTATTATCTTTAATTTTCGTTTGCACTTATTCTTAGTAATTTTAATTTAAGTTGGTTACTTAGTTTTTAAAGTTTAGTTTGAGTTGCCTAGTGTATCTTGAGTACTTAAGACATGTGATGAGAGGGCAAAAATACGCATTATTACAACTTATTATGCAGGGCATAATCCGAGGACAGCGAAATGTGGGAAGACGAAGAATATCCTGGCCTAAGAACTTAAGGGAATGGTTTGAATGCAGTAGTGCAGAACTCGTTAGAGCGGCAGTCAACAGAGTCTGCATAGCCATGATGATTTCCAACCTTCGATAGAAGATGGAACTTAAAGAAGAAGAAGTATATCAAAGAATTTTTATGTTGTGCTAGTAAAAAAACTAAACATAGTGAATTATTGTATTGTTCCGTTGTGTACAAACTGTACAAATCATGGAAAAATTACAAAAATGATGTTATAGTAAGTTGTCAGGAAGCAAACAATAATAGTATTTAACATTTGTTTCTGAAAATATGTGTAATAAATATTATGCAATTAGTTTATAACTGTTTTATCTTAAACAAAAAATAAATATACGCGTATCTAGAAAAAATTGTGCATTTTTATATATATTTTTATTTTTTAATAATATATGTTAGATTATTCAATTGGAAAATAGTAAGATATTTTCCAGTAAATTTTAATTAGTAACGAAACAGCCCGCAAGAGGCGCTAAAGGGTATGTATGTAAGGATGATGTAAGGGGTGTCCATTCGAATTTTCCGCCAAAAGATGATTAGTATTCGCAAGGCGTCCTAATAAACGAAATTTATACATTAAGTTGCCTATCAATTTCTACTATTATATTATTTATCTATGCATATAATCGATAAAAAAAATCATATTTAAGAAAAAAGGTTTAGTGAAAGAAGTAAGGTTATGAAAATTGGAAATGCGGTCAGAATTATAGAATAAATATCACAATGAAAGTACACACCCCAAAAGAATTTGTAGACCATAAAATAAGTCTAATAATAATTTTTGCTTTCTTTTATAAAGATCAAAAAGAAGCAAAAAATAATCCCACCACGTTAGAAGAGTTATTTTGACAGAAAGTGGGAGACTAAATGAAGTTTATATATCATGAAACTATCTTGTCTGTCAACACGGAACAGAATAGTCTGCCGGACAAAAAGAGAGGGGGTGAATATTTATTCTACGGGACAGAAAGAGAGAGAGTAAATAAAGACACAGGAAGAAAGAGAGGGCGCCAACTACTTTTTAAATAAAAACTAGTCAAAGTTAAACTCAACATAAAGAAATTAATAAATTAATGAAGAAAATAAAATGAAATAATTATTTAGAGATGTGACGTTTATAACGTTACAATGTCAATCTCATTATTAATGGAATTTGAATCTTTTTTATGTGAATCATTTTCAATATGCATATTTTGTTGTAATTTTGTTCTTTTCCAAAATCTGTAGCCAAACATTCTCTAGAAAATAGCCATTTTTTTGATTTTGAAAATGTACAGATTAAAAAAAAAAGAACAAAGTTACAACAAAAGATTCATATTGGAGATGATTCACATAAAAAATACTCAATACTTATTTATGTTTACAAAAATTGAATGTATTTCCGAAATTTGAAGAAAACTATAAATATCGCGGAAAGTAATGAATCTAGTTATAGGGAGTACTATATAAAAATGAAAGAGTACCATATTTACAATAATTCTAAAAAATAACATATAGGGCGTTTTATTTAAAAAAATTGAGAAAATCGTAATTTTGTTTTGTAGTTCACCCTGTATGCAAATTTTTGTCAATGAACAAACTTAAACTTAATTTAAAAACTACAATATATTGTTTACTTCATTATATAAAGTAAATAATTGTTTGTGCATTACTATAATAAAAAATGGTCATAACTTGTTAAATACTCAGACAGTGTGGAAACCACTTATGGAATAAAATTGTTTGTGTTCTTATTTTAGAAAATAATAAAAAACGTTGAGATACCTTAACTTTTAAATTTAAATATACGTTTTTTAGACATAAATTTGAATGTACAGGGTGATCAATGCAAGTCTGGCATAGTGCATATTCTGTATTTTAAATGAAACACCCTGTATATTTTCATGTTTTTAAAAGCTCCGTAGCAACATGATTTAACGAACTATATCATGTAGGGTCTATTATGAATAATACAAGGTGAAATTTTGAAATTAGGTATTTTTTTCAAGACAATGAATTCATAGAATACCCGAAGTAATTGATTGGATTACATTAAAATAAATGCTCAACATGTTCTCCACCTTGTTGTTGGCAATAACACAGTCTCCTCTAAAAGTCGTTCCGAACTTTGTTTAAAGTGTGAGGTGAAATATTTCGTATTTCTGTAGTTATCCTTACTTTTTGAGGGCTTCAATGATAGTTGATTGTGTTGCATATTTTTTGTTCTTGAGATAACCCCACAAAAAAGTCCAAAGGCGTAAGATCTGGCGACCTAGCTGACCGCTCACTAGTCCTCTTCATCAAATCCACTTATTAAAGAAGATTTCATTCAAGTAATTTCTCACCATTAAAGCATAATGGGGTGTTGCACCGTCCTGCTGGAACCAGACAGTTTCATGCGGTAGGGTCGGATCTATTGGATTGGGATATAAGTTAGCCAACTAAGGAAGAACATCGTCTCTTAGCATGCTTAAATATTTTTCCGCTGTCAAATTATCATCTATAAATATAGGACCAATAATATGATCTCCTATAATACCTGCCCAAACATTCAACTTTTGAGGAAACTGAGTGTGTGTCTCACGCATCCAATGAGGATTCTCCGCTGACCAATATCTACAGTTTTGTCAGTTTACCTCTCCGTTCAATCTAAATTTTGATTCATCAGCAAAAAGAATTGTGCCAAGAGCTATTTCATTTGTTAATTTTATCAATCATTCTTTTGCAGAAATCCATTCTACGATCCGGATCGTCTTCTGTTAGCTCCTGCACAAATGTCAATTTATATGGATGAAGTTTTCTTCATGGAGACGCCTTAGGACAGTTGTGTGACTCATATTATTTTGACGTGCAATTTGACGTGAACTTGACGTTGGATTCTCTGCGACACTTAACAAAATATCCACTATCACTTCATCTTCAATGAAGTGCGATTTTCTTTTTAATGGTTTGGCATATCTAAGTTTTCTGAATTGTGCATAAATTTTAGACACAGTACCTTGTGAAATATTAGGCAACTGAGGATACCTCTGACTAAATAAGTTTACTACTTCAACTTGACTTCTACAATTCTCCCCGTAACCGATCATCATTAAAATCTCAATTAGGTGGGCCTTAGTTAAATATTTCACTTTTATTTCTGCAAGAAATTAGTTATTAATTAAGAATTATTGTTTTAATGTAAAATGTCAATAGCATGTCAACTGATTTATAACAATCCGCATTATTTACACATTTAGTTTAATTAGCAGACTATCTATACAGTTTTTACCTATTCACGTCAAAAAATGTTAAAACGGTTACTAAACAGAAATTTTCCCCAATATACAGTGTACTGACACTTACGAGTAGAAGTCTATTGTCTGTATTTAGCTAATTTAAAATAATATCATAACACGTGATAAATTATTAATTTAAAAATGTCACCTTGTATTATTCATTATAGTATTATATTTGTACTTGTATTATAAAAGTATTTTAAAAACATAAAAATATACAGGGTGTTTCAATAAAAATAAGGATTATGGACTATGCCAGACGTGCGTGGATCACCCTGTACATTTAAACTTATGTTTAAAAAGGGCACATTTAAATTTAAAAGTTAACATGTCCCAGAGTTTTTGATTATTTTCTATAATAAGGAGACAAACAATTTTATTCCATAAGTGGTTTCCACACTGTATATTATAAATTAAATACTACTGATTTCAGGAATGGAAATCGAAATACCAAACAGCAGTTAAAAATGTAATTTTAATAACAATCAATTGTAGCTTAATTCCATATAAACATAATATATATCTATACTACAATCGTACCATTTATAATATACAGTAGGTACTATGTAAATCTCTACTTTATTGTAAAAAGGACTTCATTAACTGTTTTGTGAATGCGCCACAAATTTTTACACTAACCACAGTCAATGACCAATATAGTGTGGCTTAGAGGCCCAGAGCGATTAAAACAATGGAATGTATCGCAATTTGCCACCGGTTAAAAATAACGTGACCAAAAACACAATTATGTTGAGTAAGGTTAGGTATCAACAGTGGATTTTACGACTGAACCAGTTCCCCAAATGTTAAAAATACACTGAACATGCTGCAGCATTGGCGTGGCCCTTAAGTAACCTAACAATCTCGTGCAAATGAAACGATATTTTTCAAATTTATTTTTGGAAAGTATCAATGAATGCTTTATTATAGAAAAAAATGTGTATCTCCATGACATTTAGTTTATGTCACAATTTCAAAATCAATTTTAACAATAGAAAGTAAAAATTGTTGATCTTGATGTTGAATATAAATTTTAATCCTTTACAGCATGAATTTTTGTTTTTTGTCAAAAATAAATTCTCAGATAAAAATTTTAATTCTATTTTGACGTAAAAATATTGAAAAAAATCTAGCTACGAGGAAAACTTTATTGACCCAAAAAATTGTTGGTGCCAAATATGGAACAACATGCAACAATGTAATAATAAAGTCAAACTATTTTGAAGCTACAGTATACACTATACAGTATGAAACTGCAAATAACAGTTTCTTTCTTTATTAATACACAATGGTATTGTACATTTTATACACACTATATATGTTTTCTAGTGCTTTCATCAAAATAGGGAAATCCTATATCGGCTATTGCTAGTTTGGTATCCAAAAGGGATAAATCAAATTTCTTTGCTCTTTTGGCTGATAACCAACAGTTCACGGCTGTCATGTCAATGAAATGAAAAAATATTCGTAAATAATATTTCTTCGACCTGATTTTTACATGTTGTAGAGTTAGTTGTAGAATTAGTTGTTGTAGATTAGGACACTGTTAGGACAAAGTATCATTTTATGTATATTTTTGTTGCAATATTCGTTCTTGATCTGTTAATAATATTCTTCTCTATGATGGTTAAATTTATTTAACCATCCTTTTTTTAAGTTGTTAAATTTCTCCCCGTCGTCTCCGCATAGTGGTTTATTAAAGTAAAATTTTAGAAACAATTTTGATTCAATTCTACTTACGTTATGTATTATTTTTGTTTTATCTGTATCCCTCTTACATTTCACTAATTCCGGTGAGAGCAACTGTTTTATTTTTAGATCTGGATTAAAAGCTTGGTCATCTGATATTTTTTTTCTGATTATCCTAACTGTTGAATTTTGGCTAGATGGTCTGTTAGATCCTTGACTTGGTTTAACGAATGTACCTGTGTAATTATAACTCTCCATTTCTGTTACCTTTATCAGTTGTTCGTTTCTCTTGAATTCTTCTTCATTAGTTATGGAACTGTCTGATCTTATATTTTTATCTGTATCATCTGTATCATCTTCTTCTATTTGCTTTTTGGCTTGTTCGTTTTCATATTGTGTTTTTAGAAAGTTTTTTATGGTCTTTGTACCAGATACTGTAATAGGCCTCTTTGGATATATCAAAGGATTATCAGAAACTTGCAGAGCTTTTAAATTTGACACGGTACCAAGTTCATTTGGCAGATTATGTAAATTATTATTCATTAATAACAAATTTTCTAGTTTTTCATGAAATACAATACTAGTAGGAAATATATGAAAATATATGAAATACAAGATCAGACAGTTCCATAACTAATGAAGAAGAATTCAAGAGAAACGAACAACTGATAAAGGTAACAGAAATGGAGAGTTATAATCACACTGGTACAGTCGTTAAACCAAGTCAAGGATCTAACAGACCATCTAGCAAAAATTCAACAGTTAGGACAATCAGAAAAAAAATATCAGATGACCAAGCTTTTAATCCAGATATAAAAATAAAACAGTTGCTCTCACCGGAATTAGTGAAATTTAAGAGGGATACAGATAAAACAAAAATAATATGTATATTTTTGTTTAAAAAATCTTCTTTTTTTCTTTTGGGAGACTTCCAACATATGTGGACATTGTAGTAACGATTTTATTATTAAACTAGGACACTACACTGATATCCATATTGTCCATATTGACTATTTTCTCTACATATGACCTCTGCCGCGCTTCTTCATGTCTTTCTCAGCTGACATCAAAACTCCAGAAACACGATTAAGTCTTACCAAAGTTCCCAAAGGTAAAATGCCCTTTTTGGTCAGATATATCATAAGATGTATGCTGGTGAACCAATTGTCAAAAAACAACTTGTAGTTGTTGTGTTTTGGTATCGAATCTGCTAATTTGACAACCTCGTTACTGTTCATACTAAGATTTGGTGCTCCTAGAGGTACAATATTACTCTAGGAACCAGCAAACAAGTTATAGTCATAGCTGAATCCCGAAACAGCATTTAGCTAAAAGTTTTTGAAGCCCCACTTATGTGGTTTTTTGGGGTATACTTATTTAGCTGGCTTCACACTTTTGTTGGTATAATCTGTTCGTCTACAGCTAGAAATTCTTCTTTTAGGACCATGAGGAGTCGTTCTTTGATTTTGTTCAGAACAGGTCTAATTTTAAATATTCTGTTATGTCCAGGCTGATCATTTTCAATAATGTCATCATTTTTATTGAAATGCAAGAAACGTTTCATTTCTCCGAATCTGTTATAGCTCATTACATCGCTAACTGTTCAGTGACCATTATTGGCATGGTTTATAGCTGGTTTATCTTGACGTTGTTTAAAAAATTAAACCGCAGTTTCTAATTGTAAAATCGAAGAAGGTAAGTTTTCAGAACCAGTAAATTTTGCATCATTTTCTGATCTTCTCAGATTTCCTTTCACCCAATTATGAGATTTATTCCTTTTATATTGTAGTCTTTCAGACAAAGAAAAATAATCATCTGAGAAATCTGAGGATGTGGCAGAAATGCCAGTTTCCTTGACATTGCGTGGTAAATTATCACGCTCCTCATTGACACTCACTATCTTGACAAAATATCATCTTATTTGTGCCGTCTTCATCGGAGAGATCTTATTCTTTACTCTTAATAATATTTGGAATTCTAACTGCAATTCATTGTAAAAGAAAAGAGTTTTGAATCCATATCTACAAAAACAATCAATGAGTCCACAACTTCATAGTGTGCCATATATAGTACAAATCTTTATTGGGGTTTTCGAGAGACTTTCTTAATCGTTAGTACTTAAAATACCTAAGCAGATATCTAATATCACAATACAATAAATTTCAATTTTTTCTAGCCGTAAAAAAAATAGCCTCTGACATCGAGCACTGTTTCACGTGGTTCAGAATTTCAACAAGAATGAACTTGAAACTGCGCACGGCTGCGTATCTACTGCGTATCGTATTACCAATTATCGTAAAAGATCTAATTTGTCGTATTTTACTGTCTGGGATTTTGATAATTATTACATTTTCTTTATCCTCAATGTCCACAGTCTTCATTTTTACCATTTCGTCGCATCAACAGGCGCCGGTAACCCCAATTAACAAAACAATCTGAAATATTTTTATAATTTAGTAGAGTATACTACATGCTTTGCAATATAATTTTTTTTACCTAAATACAACTTGGATTTTATCATAGAGTATCGTGACCACATTGTAGAAGATTTCCATTTATTTTCATTTTCCATTTTATTAAAATATGCCAGTAAAATGTCTTCGGTAACTTGCCGTACTCCTCTTGTATCGCACCACTCTTGGAAGTGTTTGTACGCTAACCGATACTTTATTCCGGACTTGGAGGGCCCCAAACGTGCTACTGAATCATTAGCCGCGGACTCAATTTCGTTTAGGTTTTCCATTTTCGCACTAAATTTGCGCTTGCCGTTGCAACAACAATAAGCTGTCTTTATTAATTGCAAACAACTGTAACCAGGGAGACGCAAATCCCACCGACGACTTAATTATTTTAAATTCTAACATCTAGACGACTTTGATAGTTGTCACAGTTAATTTCGAGTAAAAATAGCGTATGAATTGTACTATTTATGATTGAAAATTGCTACGTTTGAAGAAAAAATAGTATACTTTATTCGGCAAAGAAGCGACTTTTCTTGACTTGCCCGATATTACTCGCCTCACTTCGTTCGGCGCGTAATATCGGGCGCGTCAAGAAAAGTCATGCTTCTCCGCCTCATAATAGTATATTACATAACGAGAGTTGTAAGAAGCTTATTACATGCGAGTAAAAAAGTTGCGCGCGAGCCGCGTAGCGGCGAGCGCAGTAATTTTACAAGCATGTAATAAGCTTACAACTCAAGTTGTGTACTATACTTTTTCTACCATTATTTTCGTTTATAAAAATAAAAATTAAATTACCACTATATTTACACTGACAGTTTAATAATTTTTAATCTGTCAAAATAACGTCTGTTAATTCGTTTCCATGGTAACTCGACCAACTGACTTACAAGGCTTATGTGATATTACACATTTTTATAAAACTGAAGCGTAATTTTTTTTATTACGTGCTAGTCATTACGTGTCAGTATCTGTTATGATGCATTTACTTAGCATCCAAATAGTAGGTATTAGACAATTTACTAGTAAGAGAGTAGAAAAAGTAATATACTATTGCTTTGTGCCATTTATGGCACATGATGCGGTAAAGGGTTACAACATTTGATTTTAATGTATTTAGCATGTATTTTTATTTTATGACAACTGAAAGGATAAGTATTCTAAAGTTACGTACAATTAACTACACATATTTTATTGAAAGAACACGATGAAACATGATTTTGCAAATGATCGAAATGATGAAGGAACATGATGCGGTCTCTAAAAGGGAAGATGGCGATTAAGCGGTCAAAGAACGAAGGTAAAGGAACTAATAAAACCAAAATACATAGAAAAGGATAAGTGGATTGACTACATAAAAAAGCTCTATGTAGAGGAAGAACGAACGACGCTAGAACCGGAAACACAAGAAATTACCACAAATGGAGAACTTAATATAAATGTACAGGAAGTTCGGAAAATATTTGAAAACGCGAAGAATAGAAAAGCAGAAGACGGGATACCAAACGAGTTACTGAAATATTATGGAGCAGAAATGACAGAACAATTAACAACATTCGTTAATAAACCGATAAAACACAATAAAATACCGGAGGAATGGAGAACGAGCGAACTAATTCTACTATTCAAAAAAAGAGATCAAAAACAGTCAGAAAATACAGAGGTATACCCAAACTTGTTAAATACTACCCTAAAACTTACCAACTTCTTTATTGGCTTACTGTTTTATCGAATAATATTTAAGCGTTACTCACACAGTCAAAAAAACAATCAATTCGGCAGTTATTTGTTAGTGGTGTGGCTGGTAACACATAACCCTGCCCAAAACTATTAATATACCAATAAAAACACAAATACTGAAATCTAGATTTAGTTCTAACATAAATAAAAAACCTGCTCGGCATAAATATACTCAGTCTGATTAGATGACACACCCTTTCTTTCTTTATTGGTTTAAAGTTTTATCGAATAATATTCAAGCGTTACCCATACAGTTTCAAAGAAACAACAAATACAACAGTGATTAGTTAGTGGTATGACCAGTAACACATAGTCCTACCCAAAATTATCTATTAACCAATCAAAAAGAAACGTAAAACTAGTTTTACTAACAAGACGAGTAAAGTACCTGTTCGGTATTTATTTGACAATCAGTAAGTTTTTGCATGGATGTTTTGAAATATTCAGGTTTTATGAATCACAAGACCCAATGTCAACGCAATATTAAAGATTTAGGCTAAATTTTACAAGATTTGTAAATAAATAAAGATTTTGCACTAACTTCAGTTTTCGGAGCACAAGTTAATTTTATAATTTTAATTATATTTTACAAATTTATAATTTTATAGTTATAAAATTATAAATTACTAAATATATAAAATATATAATTAATTAATTAAGTAATTAATAAATTATTATAAATTTAAAAAACACCAAAAAACACCAAAAAACACCGGAAGAATGGAGAACGAGCTAGGGATGGCGGGTTTTGACAAAACACCGGTTTTTGGTGGTGTCGGCCGATATGCGCTCGACCGTTTTGCGCCCTTACCTGAAATTGGCCGGTTTGACCTCTAAAAAAAGATCAACAAATTTAAAAATACGAAAAAAAAAATGAAAAATTGAAAAAAGAACATCTTCTAAACACGTCAATGTTTATATTATGTATAAACTATGGGTCACACTGGTCAAACTCAGTTTGGTTTTAAGAATGGGTTCGGAACAAGAGAAGCACTTTTTTCAATACGTGTGCTAGTTGAAAGATCTAGAGATGTCGATTCTGATGTATACTTGTGTTTTATAGACTTTCAGAAGGTGTTTGACCTGGTGAAACATGATAAACTAATAGATATTTTAAGGTCATGTAATATTGACGATAAAGACTTAAGGATCATTTCAAACCTCTACCAAGAACAAAAGGCTAAAATCAGAATAAAAAGCGAAACATCTGGAAAAATCAATATCGAGAAGGGAGTAAGACAGGGATGTGTCCTATCACTTTTGCTGTTCAATTTTTACTCTGAGAAGATATTTCAGAAAGCTTTGGAAGGCACCTCGGATGGTATAATTATAAACGGGCAA